CTGCATGGAGCTCACCGACAGGTAGTGAGCGGAGAGATGGTTCACACGTGCGCATATATCGGCCACTCACACGCGAAAACAGGCCACTCGCTCACCTTGATGCAATGCAAACGCAAAACAGCGTACAGGAGCCAAGCACATATGCTGCTGTGTGCAGCGACGAACGTGTACACATGCACGTGGGCGTGTGAACACACAACATCCACAACTGACCACGGGCCCACGAAATGAAACACATTCATTTGGTGATGCTGCGTTGGCAGTGGCGCACAAGCACAGGCAACAGCAACAACAAAAGAGCCGCACAATTGTCAATACCACCCGTCGTAAACAAAACAAAAAATACCATGGGCGAATTATTTGGGTCTTTTGGTAAAGTTACGTAGATGGTTCAAAGAAAATAACAAAAAACTACGACATTTCGATCAGAACACAAGCGATCGTCATCAGGAGGAAAGACGACGATCGCTTGTGTTGTGATCAAAACTTTTTGTTATTTTCTTTGAACCATCTACGTGACTTTGCCGAAAGACCCAAAGAATATAAATTCCTGCAGTCACGAAAGCTTTAAGTCAAGATTTAACCATGGGCTAAGTTTCAAGAGAGCTTGGGCCAGCGATTCAAGTCCTCCCCTAGCTGTAAACACAACGCCCCACTTGCTGTGCGCATCACCCGCCCTCCTTTAGCCCCATGCGTAGAGGGTCTCCATCTACCCTGTGAGCCCAGAACCACTTGTTACGCCGCTGCCTGGTGGCGATGCGGGGATGTCCCCCCCCCACCCGCACAGCCCCCCCCCCCACCACCACCGCGTCTCTCACTCAACTGCGACGGCGGTCGCCGCTGCTAACGGCCAGAGCCACACGCACAATTTTGGGTTTTTTTTTGCCCGTAGGTTGCTACGCATGTGCTTCACAGCGCTCGTGTGTTCGCTGCACACGTTCACCTGTCGGCCTTCTCCAGACCCACCCAAGGCCGCTGGTGTCTGGAAAAGGCGTACAGCTGTCGCACGTGCAATGCGCACCTTTGCGTGATGTGAATTACGTTTGATTTTGCGGCCTGCTCTTATTCGCCAGTGTAACTCTCGTCATTTACAGACGTGAACTTGTGATTGATATGATGAAGGGAAATGGCCAAGGCACAAGCAGTCTTTGTATCAATGAAGACCTTAACATGGCTGCTGGTTTGAGCTATGGGTTTGGGTGCGTGTGTATATATATAAATATATAAAATAATTGCATGCTAAAAATGGCCCGACGCGATCGCATCGTTGCTTATAACATTCAATAGGACGCGATTGTGCACGGACACATCACGAACGGCAGCATTTACCCCTATTTTTAAATGCCAAATCTATCGACGGGTAACAATGACGGAGAGACGCCGTTGCGTGATGATGATGCTTGTACAGATTCTATCATGGCCCCCCTCCAGGCTAGGGAAAGTCCGACAGGCGTAGCTCCCACACGAGGACAGCCGCGAGCTGACCGCACCACGGTGGCATATTTGCTCGACCACATCGGGCGCACGATACGAGCGCGCGAACGCCTCCTGAACGACGCTGAGTAGCGGACAGCGCACTTTCCTAGTTCCCCTTCACATTCAATGGGGGGGGGGGGGGGGGCCGCAGCGACAAAGAGTCGAACACCGTGGGGGTTGGGCAGCTTATTGGCCAACCCGCTGCTCTGCTTAAATAACCCGATCGAGCCTGCGAATAGCGGCGATCGCCTCTACCCGCTCGGCTGCTGCCCCGCACCGCAGCAGTACCCGCGAGGTTGTCATGCGTACGGCGATCGCAGATCCACGGCGTTACGCGCTCCGGCACGCAATCGCTGCGGAATGGTGGCAGCTGCGATTCATAACGGCAGTATGTAAAAACCCGGTGACAGCCCAGCTTTAGCCATTGGGCGTCAGCATGGTGATGGATCGCTCGTTTGCATGATGATGATGATGCGATAAACACGTCTCTGCTAACACACGCGCGCGCTCGTACTAGAAGAGGCACAGGCGATCCACGACATACGAAGACACTCACCAGAAGACACAGCAGCATAGAAGAAAATAAAGCCACATATGTCTGGGTATCATCCTGCTTGACATTCCTCGCCCGTTTAAGCCATGTATAGATGCTTTCAATTGATGCGGCCGGATACACTATTCGGTGCCTGTGGAAATGAACAATAGTTAGTTAAGCCGCGTGAAGCGATCCATCAGCACAGCTGATTCATCCAACACACGAGTAGGGGACATACACTTTGACGTGCTTAATAATTCCCAGCGGCGCGTGTTTTCACTTGTCTATTAGCCCAGATAATATTCTCCCTACCATTAATACGAGTCACGCGCTCGACATAACCCCTTGGCATTAAGTGATAGCTATATCTATAATCTTAATGAAGGCTTAGATGCTCTGAAGCTTTAAATCATACGTTTACGTATTTTCTCTAGGCATGCACGTCTAACAACCAAAATTAAATGACTGCATGTCTCGCATTGGCACACACAATGTCGCGCGTGTATACATGTTCCTCTTTACGTGTATATTATATTCTTAGCGTTCAATTGGCTCGTGCGGTCTTCAATCGCGCTGGCTCCATCGCAATCCGCGGCTCGAATACTCACACGTCTGCAGCGCTGGGCTTAGTTGCAATGGTAGAGGCGGCGAGGAGACGGGAGGGGGGGTGAGAGTGTCTCACGAGGAGGAGTGCGTGCGCGCGTGTGTGGCGCAGCACTGCCGCGCGTGTATGTGTATAAATAGACGGTAAAAGCGTGGAGCAATAGCAGCAAGCAAGCAAGCAAGTGCTGCTCGCGAGGCAAGAATATCGACGGGACGTGATGTTAATCAGACGTAATTTGACACGGCGCGCGCCTTGGCCGTTGCTTACCAGAGGATCTCGTTTATACGCAAACACACACACAAACATAATATGAAATATAAATGACCCAACAAACAATGCATGCTGGCCTATAAGGGACGCGGCGATTTAGGGCTCTGATCGAGTGTGGAAAGCATCTTCAGTTCGGCATCAAACTAAAGCCCCTGGGTTTATGCGCCTAGATATTACTGTGCATTGAACACCACGTATTTATCAACAACAAGAACAAAAAGAACGGGTTTTTGTTGTTACCTCTAAATAATATTGTAGCACCACCTCGTGTAAAAAAAAAACAATTGTTATCTTACGTTCGCCACCGATGTAAAAAAAAATATATAACACAATAGCCCGATAAATAGCTAAGTAGACATGCCGACAGGAAAACTCACTACCCAATTGCTACACAAATCCTTCAGGCTCCGGTGGCAATCCCGCGTGGACAGCTCCGACTGCTGAAGCAAAGGTGATCACATCACGTGATTGTATATTCTCGCACCGAGCCGGCATGGCCCCGTGTGAACGCAGCGTGTAGCGCGGCAGTGGAGACGCGAGCACGGTAGTGGAATACGCGAGCACGGTAGTGTAGACGCGAGCACGGTAGTGGAATACGCGAGCACGGTAGTGGAGATGCGAGCACGGTAGTGGAATACGCGAGCACGGTAGTGTAGACGCGAGCACGGTAGTGGAATACGCGAGCACGGTAGTGTAGATGCGAGCACGGTAGTGGAATACGCGAGCACGGTAGTGGAGATGCGAGCACGGTAGTGGAATACGCGAGCACGGTAGTGTAGACGCGAGCACGGTAGTGGAATACGCGAGCACGGTAGTGGAGATGCGAGCACGGTAGTGTAGACGCGAGCACGGTAGTGGAATACGCGAGCACGGTAGTGGAGACGCGAGCACGGTAGTGGAATACGCGAGCACGGTAGTGTAGACGCGAGCACGGTAGTGGAATACGCGAGCACGGTAGTGTAGATGCGAGCACGGTAGTGGAATACGCGAGCACGGTAGTGGAGATGCGATCACGCCGCATCTCCACTACCGTGCACGCCGAGCTCGGATGAGCGTGCCGGCGGTGTCCATCAGTGCCGGATGGCATCACGGCTCGCCTCGCCCGAGCATCACGCCCGAGCAATCGTCACTAACACAATAGCCTACGTGTTAAACTCAGTCCCGGCGTTTACAGCTTCTTCACCTGTTTCAACCGCAGGGCTATCTGCTCCCCACTGTGTCCGGCTTGCAGCCGGACGCGCACACCAGCAGGCACACTCAGCGTGTGGTATCCTACTTACAATGCTGCTGCTCTTACGTGTATGCACGTGTGCGTGTGCAGCCCGCGTCTGCATACACACACACACCCCACGCATGTGTACAGAACACGTGCCTGCACTTGTGTTCAGGTGTGTGTGTCTGCCCGTGTGTGTGTGTCTGCCTGTATGCCTGTGTGTGTGCACGTGTGTCGGTGTGTATGTGCGACAGAGCGAGTGCACGCAAGTTTAGCCGCACGCACAGCACTCGTGCACAATGCACGCACACGAAGCGAGCGTTAATGCAAGCTCCAACTGAACAACCGTGATAACAAACAAAAAACACCCTCTACTACAAACACTCAACCTCAAAGAACGCTCCTATAAACGGAGGAACAGTAGAAGATATTGCAAACCCGACACGCGAAAGGCACGAGCACTTGCCTATGTGAGAATGAGCGCTGGCGAGCCGCGGTGGTTGTACGTGCAGGTTCGATCCGGGGATCCGGGCTCTCAGAGGCTGAGCTGCTGCTGCTGCTGCCGCCGTGCCATGCTCCGAGATGCAGCAGCAGACACGCTGTGCTGCTCTGCTGCTAAGCGGCGCGCACGACTGCCAGCGAGGCTGCGCTGCTGCTGCTGCGCATGCGTGTGTGTGCGTGTGTGCGCGCACGTGTGTGTGCGTGGTGCGTGCGTGCGCGCGTGTGCGTGGTGCAAGCGCGTGTGCCCGAGCGAGTGCGCGCAGCACCGGCTGAGCCGGGCATCTCACCACCTCCTACTCAACCCCGCTCCATCTCCCCCCCCCCCCGCTCCTCCCCACCACCACCAACATCCCATCCGCTCCATCGCTGAGTGCCGCCTCCCCGCTACCCCCACCCCCGTCCTCCCTACCCGAGCCCAAACACACGAGCCGCTGCCGCCTGTGCTCGTCTTGAGAAGCAACTGGCGGATCTACCCAACAACTCCGCCAATTGGACACTCTGCGCCGGGCCTCCGTCTCCATCTCGCCGTGTTTGTTGCATTCCCGCAAACCACTCCATTCCCTCTCCTCGTCATCGGCCTGTTTTCTCGTTGTTGTTCATCATCATCCCCGCTCCTCCTCGCATCCCCTGCTCCGCGCGCGTGTGTGTGTGTGCGTGCGCATGATCCCATTCGTCGTCTGTCTGTGCGCCGCCCGTCGCCCTGCTGCTGACCAACGTGTAGGGGGGGCTGCCTGCGGAAAGCTCTCCTCTCTCTCTCTTCTCTCTCTGCACAACATCACGAAACATGGGCAAAGTCGGTAGAAAAAACCTCGCGTCGTTGTCGCTGCCTCTGCTAATTGCAGCGGTCTGCTGCGTGCATAGGTAAAACGCATTTGCTTTTTTTCCAGCTCATTTTGCTCGTAAGTCGCCGTCGTGTGCGTTAATGCGACGAGAAATATATATTCGATGAACCACGCCGTTACACAATTCGACATTGTGCAGCAGCTCGGCACGCACGCGCGAAATGAACATCGGGACGATGTTAAAAAGATGGCTGTTTGTGTGAGTTTTATTATTATTTATTCTCAGCGCGAATGAACAAGACAACATGTCGTTTGTGAAGGACACAGTTGATAGTCTGCTGAGAGGATACGACATTCGACTGAGGCCGGATTTTGGAGGTAACGTCTGAAATCGCGCATCTCTTTGCCGCGGTCGCTTCGCGCACACGCAATCATGGCCTGGGCTCACCGCTCTCATAGATAATCGCGTGCCCATTGCACCCATCCGGTCGTCGCTTATTTACTATTCCCGCTTATATAGTTTCGATGCATTTATTTTTTGGGTTGGTTTGTGGTGGTGGGGGGGAGACTCTACGATATCTGCAAAGCCGCCGCACAGCTGCGTGTGTGCGCGCATTGCAATGATCCCCGCAAGATCGCTCTCTCGTCCCGTCCCCCCGCTCATCTTCCCCAACGCGAACACGGCTCACGGGGAGAGAAGCGGCATACAACGGCGGCCTGTGCCGCTTTACTGCACCAGTCTGCGCCGAGGGGTTCACTCTTTGGCGGCGTCTCGCAACAGGCAACATCGAACGAGACTAGCCTCGCCGCGTTACATTCATTGCTGTGGGGTACACGCGACGCTAACAGACTGCGGCGGCATCATGCACACAGAGCCCCTGACAGCCATGCGCACGGTCGTTCACACCGCGTGGCCGTGCTGCGAGTTTTCGTTATGAATGCAACGCACGCATCGCCGCACTTGCTGTGCATGCGTTATACTCGCGGCGAGGGTGGGCGCTGTTCTTTCGACTCGCGTTCAAAATTATTCCAAGTTCAATTCTCGACCGGGAGGCGCCAAAGATAGGTCATTCGTTCATCACTCTGGAGTCAGTAGAAGGGGTCGCAGGCCCGAACACTGTGTGGGGATTAGTCGGCAGTGGTCGTGTGCGGTCTGGCGCCCGGCTTCAGAATGTGGAATTGTCGTGTGAACCATCGCTGGCATACTGTACATGCCCAACAGACCACATCGCCTGTAAGGCAACTGGCATCAGTCCTTTGTTATGTGCACTGTACTTAGATACGTATGCTGTCTGTAACATAGCCTGGTACGATCCCATTTCCCGTGTCTCTCACAAGGAGCGGAGGACTATTTAACATTTGCGCTGCTATTGTTGTTTACGCTTGCCAACGAAGGTTAAAATAATACCTTGACATGCGCTCGCAAATTACGTCACAGGCCTCAGTATATAGTCCATTGAAGAACAATGGACATTCGGGTAAAGCCTCGCATAGATTTCCCAGCAGGTTCAGAGTAAAAGCTATTATATATGCTCCAGTAGTGTGTATGAATAGCCCTAGTTATGCCTGCTTTGGAAGCATACAACCCCTGCTGGGGAGTGGAATGGCAGGGCCGCCCCGCCACACAGTGGGGCTGCCTGGGAGGCACGGCTCTAGCTCAGCGGGCCTCGCATATACTGGCTCGTGTGTACAAAGCGTGGCAGCCACACTGCTCATTCCAGGCTCCTTTGGCCCCAACATATGCCAGGTTCGGATGACATTTGATCGCTCGCTTTGTCTACAGTCAGGTATCGGGGAGGCGCCGCTTGTTGCAGAGGTTCCGCGGTTCAAGAACCCTGGCCGCCCTGATTAATGCAACCCGTTAACTATAACATGAAAGTGGGCATTAGAGATCCAGTGACGTTATTCTAAAATTAGCAGGCCGTGTGTGCAGGCGTCCTGGTTTAAATTTGCCAAAATATTTTTTTACAAAATACTTCATTTGAATAACGAAGAGCAGTATCGACCCCCGTGCTGGCAGACATGCCCACATGTAGGTTGGTGCCACGGCACCTCGTGCCGCTCAGGGACAGCTGTTATCAGGGGGTCCCCTAGGCTATAAAAAGGAGAAAACCACAGCTGGGCATTGGAATTATTGAGATGAGATGTGGTGTAAGAAGGTGCTTTGAGATGCTGGGGCATTTCAGCGAGCGTCCAATAAACTGCAAATCTCGATTCCTTGTTCCATATTTGAACTTAGGCGACCGGGATCGTAGTGGAATCCGAGTGGCCTACACGTGCATCACTGGTGATAGAACTGAAACGAGTCTCGTGTGTTCTAAGAAGTTGGCATAATTTGTGTTTAAAATGCAAACGTATAGAACCGATGTGGAACCGTGTGATTGCAATCGTCAGCATTGTCCTTAATGCCTCATGAAATTCGCGTGGTGTCAGAAATTCACTGTGCAGAGCCGTGCAAAGTGACTGTTTGTCCGCAGGGCCCCCCGTGGCAGTCGGGATGAGCATCGACATCGCGAGCATCGACATGGTGTCCGAAGTCAACATGGTAACTACACGGATGCACTTCGAGTGGCGGGATAACACGCGGGGCGCCAATGGCGGATGCGCGGCGTCCGCGGGGGGGTCACAGGGGCACCAACTCACCCACTTACGAGCGCCCGTGGTGGCAGCTGAATGGATACCAGCGCACGGAGAAAAAGAAACCACCGCTGCCACCAAGCATCATTGGTTTTGGGCACCGCGGTACCATGCATCGGGAAACAGGGGACGTGCAGGGCTGGGTGGGGATGGGGGTATGGATTGGGTTGAGGTTAGGGATGGAGGGTTAGGGCTACCGATTTGTTGAAGAAACCTTTTTCAGAGCCAGCAGTATTGTGCTGTACTCGCAACAAAGATCATCATGAAGGTATCCGAGATATCTGTGTAGCAGAGCTGTTTCCATTCGATTTTGTGGATTGGACCCCTTGATGCGTCTGCACGAACAAAACACGTCGTTAACAGTTAATGGATGACACACACACACATCACGTTTGTGCATGATCTCCTAACATGCTGAGCGGTGGAGGGAGCAAGAGATGGCAGTGCATCAAGTAGGTTCCTGACCCATCTGTGTGGATTTTACATATGCCTGGCCTACATGGGGTTTCTCCTACCATATTCAGTCACTCAATAAGAAATCGCCAAACGTGGCATGACCCAGTCTCAAACCTAAGCGAGGACTACATGGAGACATAAAGGGCGTTCATATGATAATTATAGGACCCTCCCCAAAGAATATTGCTGTCTCAAGGAGACTTGTATATACATTGAAAATCGTGGGTATAAGCCATTCATCATTAAAATCGGTTATTAAAAAAAATACAATCATGATTTTTTTTAACAAACGTTGCCAATACCGTGTCATGATGTACATTTAAAAAAAAAATAATTATATCTGCTACAAAAAAAATGCCAATACTGTACCACAATTACAATGAAGTGAAACTCATCGCATTTTGCATTGTTTCCTCTGCAAAACATACACGTGGCTGGCTTGTAACTTGTATTGGTCTGGCCCTCACGGACGGTGCACTCCGACACGGACACGACCACGTTGCAGTAGACACTCGATGCAAAACAAAGACTGCCCGTTAAGCCTTAACAGACTGTTGGGGCAAGTGATGTTAGCGAGCACCTGTGAAGGCCGGCACGGTACACAGGGGAGTGGGTGGCCAGCACCACAGTGACGATGTTTACATACTGCACTAGATACTCATTTGAGGCTGATTCGAGCTAGAGGAGGCCCATGACCGGATACGATAATCATCACTGGTGTTGGCCGTGAGATACTCTATACACACACACATACACACGCGACACATCCAAAGTGCCCCCTTTCCCAAGTGTGAGCAGGGCGACACAGCGCTCAGCCAGTGATGGAATTTCCTCGTTCCTATGGTAAGAACCGACGACGTCTACTCATCATAGCCACTGTGGACTTGGCACAGTGACCCCTGGCGCTAGCCAATGTTCGAATGTATCTTGTGTTGGATCAAGTCCGCCTTTCTTCGGGTCAATGTCGGCCTTCGAGAGTCAGGCGCTGACTGCTAAGTGACACAGTAACTGATGACAGGGGAGTAAGTGCTGACACAGATGATGGATGTGATTTTGTTTGATGGAAAAGTCTTAATAGACCGTTCTTTTTTTTTTACAAGCACATTTATTGCGTTGCTCCAACCACAGCCGCCCCCAACACTGAGATCTCACAGCTCTCGTTATCAGCAGGTGCGTAACGGGGTGTGTGTATGTCCGTGTGATGGTTCGCGGGAAAAACCTGAGTTCGATTCCCACTCACGACCAATAACAGTTACGAATATTTGAACCGATTCAGGGCCTCCCGTAGGCCGACTCAGCCCTAAACGATTACCCGGGGCGATGTGTAAACATCATAACTGGGGAGACAAATGCAGGCGTGCCGGCCTTCATATGTGCTGGCTAAAACCACTGTCTCCAACGATTTGTTAAAGCTACATGAGGGATCTGCATCTTTGTGTGATTCAGGTCTGTGTGATGGGTGGTATGGTGTGTGCGTTATGGAGGGGGGGGGGGGGGGTGTGAAGGGGGTGTGTGTAATGGGGGTGTATTTGTCTATGTGATGGTGATGTGTTTGATAGACGTGTGTGATGGAGGTGTGTGTAATGGGTGTGTGTGATGGGTGTGTGATGTGCAGGCGCGTGTGATGGGGGTGCGTGTGTATGTAGGTATGTACAGTGAGGGAAAAATAGTATATGATCCCCTGTGCAAAACATGACTTAGTACTTGGTGGCAAAACCCTTGTTGGCAATCACAGAGGTCAGACGTTTCTTGTAGTTGGCCACCAGGTTTGCACACATCTCAGGAGGGATTTTGTCCCACTCCTCTTTGCAGATCTTCTCCAAGTCATTAAGGTTTCGCGGCTGACGTTTGGAAACTCGAACCTTCAGCTCCCTCCACAGATTTTCTATGGGATTAAGGTCTGGAGACTGGCTAGGCCACTCCAGGACCTTAATGTGCTTCTTCTTGAGCCACTCCTTTGTTGCCTTGGCCGTGTGTTTTGGGTCATTGTCATGCTGGAATACCCATCCACGACCCATTTTCAATGCCCTGGCTGAGGGAAGGAGGTTCTCACCCAAGATTTGACGGTACATAGCCCCGTCCATCGTCCCTTTGATGCGGTGAAGTTGTCCTGTCCCCTTAGCAGAAAAACACCCCCAAAGCATAATGTTTCCACCATGTTTGACGGTGGGGATGGTGTTCTTGGGGTCATAGGCAGCATTCCTCCTCCAAACACGGCGAGTTGAGTTGATGCCAAAGAGCTCCATTTTGGTCTCATCTGACCACAACACTTTCACCCAGTTGTCCTCTGAATCATTCAGATGTTCATTGGCAAACTTCAGACGGGCATGTATATGTGCTTTCTTGAGCAGGGGGACCTTGCGGGCGCTGCAGGATTTCAGTCCTTCACGGTGTAGTGTGTTACCAATTGTTTTCTTGGTGACTATGGTCCCAACTGCCTTGAGATCATTGACAAGATCCTCCCGTGTAGTTCTGGGCTGATTCCTCACCGTTCTCATGATCATTGCAACTCCACAAGGTGAGATCTTGCATCTAGCCCCAGGCTGAGGGAGATTGACAGTTCTTTTGTGTTTCTTCCATTTGCGAATAATCGCACCAACTGTTGTCACCTTCTCACCAAGCTAGACCTACACAAGGCTGGAAAGGTCTTGTAGCCCATTCCAGCCTTGTGTAGGTCTACAATCATGTCCCTGACATCCTTAGAGAGCTCTTTGGTCTTGGCCATGGTGGAGAGTTTGGAATCTGATTGATTGATTGCTTCTGTGGACAGGTGTCTTTTATACAGGTAACAAGCTGAGATTAGGAGCACTCCCTTTAAGAGTGTGCTCCTATTCTCAGCTCGTTACCTGTATAAAAGACACCTGGGAGCCAGAAATCTTTCTGATTGAGAGGGAGTCAAATACTTAGTTCCGTCATTAAAATGCAAATCAATTAATACAAAATTTTGACATGCATTTTTCAGGATTTTTTTGTTATTATTGTCTCTCACTGTTCAAATAAACCTACCATTAAAATTATAGACTGATCATTTCTTTGTCAGTGGGCAAAGGTACAAAATCAGCAGGGGATCAAATACTTTTTTCCCTCACTGTATATGGCTATTTTAAGATGTAACCCCGACGCAAATGATAGCGAAACGAAGTGGCTTTTCAAGTGGAAATGTATAGCAGCCAGACACTTTAAACACTTTTCTACATATTATTGGTTCTTTCGGTAAAATCACGTTGAAGGGAAACAATGAAATAATAAAAATATAAAACACGTTTCGACTGCAACACAAGCAATCATCAGGTGTGAAAACCACAGCAATATTTTATTTCATTGTTTCCCTTCCACGTGACTTTACCGAAAAAACCAAGAACATGAATCCCTGCAGTCACGAAAGCTTTAAATCTAAATTTTACATTTTTGACATGCGTTTTTCTGGATTTTGTTCTTGTTATTCTGTCTCTCACTGTTCAAATAAACCTACCATTATAATTATAGACTGATCATTTCTTTGTCAGTGGGCAAACGTACAAAATCATCAGGGGATCAAATACTTTTTTCCCTCACTGTATGTTGAACTTCTTTCGCACGGTACGCAGCCAACCGTGCTAATCGGAGGTGTGTGTATGTGTGATGAGGGTGCGCGTGTGATGGGTGTGTGTGATGGAGACGTGTGTGCCAGACAGGGTGTGTGTGATGGGTGTGACGGTGATCGGTGTGTGTGTGATGGGTGTGACGGTGATCGGTGTGTGTGTTTGATGTGTGTGACGGTGATGGGTGTGTGTGTGATGCGTGTGGTGGTGATCGGTGTGTGTGTGTGATGGGTGTGACGGTAATGGGTGTGTGTGTGATGGGTGTTACGGTGATCCGGGTGTGTGTGTGTGTGATGGGTGTGACGGTGATGGGTGTGGTGGTGATCGGTGTGGGTGTGACGGTGATCGGTGTGTATGTGTGATGGGTGTGACGGTAATCGGTGTTTGTGATGGGTGTGACGGTGATCGGTGCGTGTGATGGGTGTGAAGGTGATCGGTGTGTGTGTGATGGGTGTGACGGTGATCGGTGTTTGTGTGTGTGTGTGATGGGTGTGACGGTGATCGGTGTGTATGATGGGTGTAACGGTGATCGGTGTTTGTGTGTGTGTGTGATGGGTGTGACGGTAATCGGTGAGTGTGTGATGGGTGTGACGGTGATGGGTGTGTGTGTGTGTGATGGGTGTGGCGGTGATCGGTGAGTGTGTGTGTGATGGGTGTGACGGTGATCGGTGTATGTGTGATGGGTGTGACGGTGATGGGTGTGTGTGTGTGTGATGGGTGTGGCAGTGATCGGTGTGTGTGTGATGGGTGTGACGGTAATGGGTGTATGTGTGTGATGGGTGTTACGGTGATCAGTGTGTGTGTGATGGGTGTGACGGTGATGGGTGTGTGTGTGATGGGCGTGACGGTGATCGGTGTGTGTGTGTGAGTG